CAGTAGTGGTGATAGTGAGTCTCCTTGAAAGATTCCTCTCTTGATGTTAACCTCTCCCAGTCTATTGCCATTGACCAGATGATGATAATGCTGATGATGATTATGCTATTTCCTATTTTCTGAAATACATTGTGGTTACTGACATTAGCATATACTAAAAGTGACAGTCTTCTAAACACTTACCTGTAAGTACTACTGAATTCAATAGGGCTTTTTTAATAATATTTTCTTAGTAATATATTTTTTTCTGAATAATAGATTTGATTGCATATGTGTTTACTTATCTGCATTTCATGTCTACCCTATTCCTACAGTCAAACTCAGTTGGAAATGAAAGCCATTATGGCAAATGCACTGGCCCCCTGCTCTGGACTACTGGATACTGGCCACTTAGTGATGGGTCCTGACTGATCCCTCAAGGGCCCTATCAGGCTCCGCAGAGGGTGAGGTGATTTCTTTCAATGTTGCGGCCACCCCTTCCTTTGCACGATAGACCTTTCCTGCAGCATTTCTGCTGGAATATAACCAAATGAATCTTCAACATTCAGAGACAGCAAACTCAGAATACCAATACTGCATAAAACAGGGGAGTCATTAAACATCATGCACACAGCTCTGGAGCTTTAGGGGAGCAAATTTCCTGGATGAGGTAAAGCTCTTGGGAACAGCATGACAGAGAGCACCATTACAGAGGAAGACAGCTGAATGGCTTAAAACTGTACTCCCACCATCCAGTCTCTCATGGCCTGGCCCAGAGTTCAGTTTTAAATGGCTGAGGACAGAACTTGAAGCCTGGAGATTTTTTTTTCAAGGTAGAAAAGAGAGAAACTGTGCAAAAGATCTATAGAGAAATTGAAAAGTCAGGCATGGCAAATATTTTTCCTCCAACCCTAAGGACAGGGAAATGCCCAGATTGGATCAATTTCCAGGATGCTGGAAGTCCCACATGGAAGGGGCATCACCCTCGGTCAGCATGCAACACGTGGGTAAAGGCAGAAGCTGCCTGTTGTTTTTCATCCGCCTCGGAGCAAACAACATCCACTGGGACAAGGCAATGCTCTGATTAAAGAGACCTAGAAAGGGACTTTGCTGGCATCCAAGGGGAACCAGGAATACCTACCCGCACAGGGTTATTGTAGGTCTGGGAGGCTCTTTCGCTGAAATTAAACTGGTTGGTGAGCTTTCGTTCTTGCACTGCCCGGGGACGAACTTCTTCCTCCTTTTCTTCCTGGGCTTCAGCCTAGAGCAGCAGAAAAGGATGCAGACCTGAAAACTAGGAGGGATTCCATTTTTCAGAAGGGTGGGGTACCCAAGACTCCGAGACTTAATAATTAATTCTGACAGAAAAACTAAATCCATAATCAACCTGGAAAGGAAGAGAATTAGGAAAACTATTTATTTGTTTGCTTATCTATTTAGTTAATAACACTTCTAACCTCCTCCGATCCCAAAAGTGTACAAAAACATCAAACAAAAAGAAAGCACGTGAAAAAAGAGCCCATAATAATAAATAATGAAATCACAATAGTATCAAAAACAAAAAATGACCACAGAAAGCACCCAGTGATTGGATGAAACACCCAGTAAAACACAAGAGAGATGCCCACTGTAGTGGGAAGAGGGAATGGCCTTGAGGGACAGAGCCCACCCCCCACCCCCTGTTCTCACAAAGATAAAGAGAGGGAGGGGGGAGTGCATTCAGACTTGCAAGCTTCTGTTATTATAACCTTATAATACAAGTAGGATTAGCATGCATGATTTTGGTTTCCAACTCTGGTCTACCTTGAAGGGCTGACACCCACAATCTCTCAGCTGGGATCAGAATCACACTGAAATGGAGCTGTTTTAATACAGGGGGAGAATATTCTGTAAGTTAGGGGCTACTGCAGAGATAGCCCATGGTCCCTCACAAGGAGACAGAGCTTTCAGCAGATTTTGGTCTGACAAATTGTGGAAGATGATTGTAAGGGGAGGAGGTTGAAATGGGGAGCCCATTTTTCCCTGTGCTTTCCTGTATAAAATAGTTTCTCTTCTGATGTTTGTGAAGAGTATGGCTACTTAAAGCTTTAGCCTTCCCCAAAGTATACAGGCTTCTGTAACACTAGGGTCCTGGCAGGGAAGGCAGGATGGATGGGCTGGTACAGTCTCACCTGTTAAACCTTTGATACTACTAGGCAAGAAGTATAAACAACACTTACTTCCTAGACCAACACTTGGGGAAGGGAGGACAGACAGATGTATGCCATGGACAATACCTTACTTGGAATTACTGAAATGTTTGGGTTTCATCCAAGCTACTGATAAGGTGTGCCACTAAACCATCTGCAGGCGTTGTGTTACTTACACTTCCTATCTTTTGTAGAAGTATTTAAAAAATGGCAGACACTCCAAGTATTTTCAGCCTCAGTATAGACCTACCCAGGAAAGGTGCTGTACTCTAACCAGAATAATCTGGGGAATATCTGTAGCTGCCTTTGATGAGGGTGAGAGGCTCCTAGCTACTCAAGGCAGGTGAGATTCTATTCTGTATTGAATCTTGTCAAGTCTTGTTCTGTTACCTTGCCTTGATAGTTCCAGTCTATATTATGCTTTGCAGACAAAGTTATCCTTTTGCTATGTTTTGCTTAACAAACCCTTTCAGCTTTTACTCGACTGTTTTCAAATTCATAAACTTCCTGCCCACAAAATCACCTGTGAATGATTTGTTTTCCTAAATGCAAGATGCACAGCTCATGTGGATAATGTATAGGGGAAGTTTTCTCAGTAACCCTATAGAATGGGTTGGCCACTGCCTTTTTCCAAGATGGTTTTTGGCTTTCTTGTTTAGGCTATGCCCTGGGAGTCCTTAATGACCTCCTACCTAAATGCTAACCAAGTCCAACCCTGTTTAGCTTTTGTGATTCAAGGTTAGCTAAAGGCTGCCATCTACTTTATTTTCAGGAACCCCAAAGATTGATGCTACTTGGGGGGGACAAGGGCCTCAAATGAATCAAATGAGGGCTGGGGCCTTCCATTCTCCTTTTTGATCTTTCTTTCCCTCCCCCCTAAGCACCAGCCCAACAGAAAAGAGGTTGAGGTTCAGTCTGAATAAGGACAAAGGTGTGAATAAGACATGGAAATGCATCCAGACCTGAGATTTGCCAAGTAATTCTCTACCATATTCGGTGACTCAAATCTTTAGTCACTTTCTGGGAATATAATGAGGTTAATATAAGTACCTTAGAATAGAGTTCACTTTAGCAGGATGTAAACCAAAATAAGAAGCATATAATAAAAACAAACACAGGACACTGTAAAGCTGTAAAGCTGAATTGTCCATCCATTATTATAGCGTTTCTCAACCTTGGCAAGCTGTCTGGGGGAATCCTGGGAGTTGAAGTCCATGCATCTTAAAGTTGCCAAGGCTGAGAAATCTTGCACAATGGGATTGACAAAGGACCTCCCAGTTTAAAACATAAATACACCCAAAGCTCTAGTTAGCAGATTGCTATGAGGCATTACTGGCTGATCCGTTTTCTCTCCTGCTTCTGCTTCTGCTTCTGCTTCTGCTTCTGTTTCTTCTGTTTCCCCTTCAGCTTCTTTAAGTTCTGCATCCAGAGCATCAAAGTCCACAACGAGAGATGAAACGGGAGCTGCTGTTAAGAACAAAAAAGGACAGGAGGCAAACACAGACTTCTTTTAAAAGTTCTTGCAGAATATTTTATCATCAGAAATAGTGATGGCCTCTCTGTTGTGGATATTATAGCTGAGGCGCCTGCTAGGAAATCAGCAGTAAAGCCTCAATTTTCTAGCCGGAAAGACCTTAGTTGAGAAACGGGATGCTGGCCAGATGCCAAACGCTGTACAACACTCAGCCATTTTCCTCATTCCCACTTGACCTTTCCCATTTCAGGAGAAATGAGAGCCCATGGAAGCAATATCTCACAATGTTGCTGTTTCTGCACATTCTTGATCAATATCCCCTAGGAGAGGAATCTCCTGGGCTGCTCACCATTCAACCCTATGTGGATACTTTAAGTAAATGGGGAAATCCCACTCACAATAGCCAACCCCTTCACTTTAATGTGCCAGGAAGAAGAGGAACCGCCTCCCAAGGCCAACATTGCCAATTGTCCACCAGCTTGGCTGAGGGGCCAGCAATGTTACCTCTGATCCCCTCACTCTCCTGCTGAGAGGTGCAGGAAGCTCTAGACTGGAGCAGGGCACCAGCTCTGAATTCAGAAGCTCACGGATTCCAAGCTCAGCACTTCTAACATAATCTTTTTTAAAGATGTTTAAATTACTTTAATATTTGAATATGGTTGGTGGAGTCAGGATAATCAACAACTACTTTTTCACACAACTCATGGGAATCCTTGCAGCAAGATGTGGCTGGGACATTAACTATACAAAGGAATAGATCAATGACTGGAAGAGGAGAGGGCCATCTGCATGACGGAAAGCCCTGTTCAGAGGCAGCTGCTACAAAGCAGGAAAATCTCATCCAGTAAGACTTTTCATAAAGATCCCAGATGAGTGAAACTGGACAGTCCTCTCTATGATATCTGGCAGCTGCGACATCCTGCTACCACAATGGATTAGGCTAGATGAACCAGTAATTATATACAACAGTTCCATATATCATCAGTGATGAGGAGAAGTCCTGCTGGATCAGACCGAAGGTCCAAATAGACCAGAATCCCATTCCCACAAGAAGCAACTGGATGCTACCAGGAAACGCAAAAACAGGACATGAGGGCAACCGCATTTCCTACTTAGGGTTCCCAGAAACTGAGGCTGAGAGGAACACTCCCTCCATTCCTAAAGGTAACATGTAGCCATCGGGACTAGTTCTTGTCCATGAATTAATCTAATTCTCTTTTAAAGCCATGCAAATTTATAGCCATATGTACAAACTTTGGTAGCTTCACCAGATGATCCATCAATGAAAGTGTGAGGAAGACCTCCCACCCAATTTCTCCATTTCATGTATAATTAACTATATTTCAGTCATTTCCCCTTTGCTCACTTCTTAAAAAGCAGAGAAGACCCATTTATTGCAATCTTTCCTTATAAGGAAGCCACTTGATCATTTGTTTCTTTCTGTACCTTTTCCAGTTCTCCAGTAACTTTTTGGAGGTGAAGTGACAAAAGGTGAACGGTATACACTTCCAAGGATGGTCGCACCATAAATTCCTATAAGGGCATTCTATAAGAACGATATCAGCCCTTTCATTTTCCGTTTCTGTTGTGGAGTTAGTCTTTTTCACAGCAGCCACATGATGAGGCTAGGGGTGTCCACAAGCCATGGTCAAAAATATCAAAATGGCAGTTCTGACAGTGCAATCCAAACTCTGCTTGTTTTTTGCGTGTGTCGTATATGTGAAGGTGAAGTTTTCAACAAGCTATCCATCACAACCTCAAAATCCCATTCTTGTTCAGACTTTGCCAGACTGAGCAGCATATATGTAAAGCCACCATTATGGGCCCCTTGTGCATTGCTTCATATTTGTTTATTGAATCACATTTGCACTAATAAGCTCCTTAATTGATACCATCAAAACAAACAAACAAGCCACGATCCTACTTATTCCAAATCCCTTATGAACAAATATCAAAACCCCACTTCCAATATGGATCCTTGGTGGACTTGGTGGACAGTTATGTTCTTTAATTGTGAAACGCCTTGCTTCCTGATAATTTATCCATAAGATAAATCCATAAGATAAATGATTTGTCTATAAGCGAGCCTGTCCTCTACTTATAAATGCTAATTTTGCCCCAGATTTGTTGATGAGACAATTTGTCAAAAGCCTTTTGTAAGTACACAACAAATGAAGTCTACAAGATCATCCAACCCACATGATTGCCACTGCCCTCAAATGCTTTTGAAATATTATCTTTGAGAAGCCACGCTGATTCTCCTTCAGCAAGATTGATCCTTCATTATACCTTATATTTTTTCTCACATAACCCCTTTCCTCAATTTACTGAGAAGTTATTTTTTAGAAATCAGCATTACAGTGGCTATTTTCCAGTTCTCTGATATGAGTGCCAAACAAGGGCTCACTGAGACATATTTGTTTGTTAGAAGCTCAGTCATTTGAGGTTTGAAGGACTCTCAAATGATTCCTCTCTGGATCTAGTGAATTGTTTATTTCCAATTTGCCAATCAGAACTAGAACTTCTTGCATCTCTGTTTGTCTCAGGTCCTAAGACTCCCTTCCTGAGAATATCATTTCGACCAAAGAAATGAGCACTTCTTGGTCCTTTGGCTAAGATCAAGTCCAATGGAGACAAAGGACGCTTTCCTGCATCTTTTGCAGAATAGACTGATAAAATGCTTCTCCACAAACCTCTCCACTGTTTCTTTAATTTCTTGGTCCAAATTGTCCAAACATTTCCCTTTCTGCTTTTTAAAAAGAATGGTTTCCTGTTCCTCAAAATACGACTGGCGATATTCTCTCTCAAACTCTCTTTGTCCCTGGCTGCTTGTAACCTTTTGTTCTGCCTGGTGCCCTTGTTTCCTCATCTTAGGAAGTCTTCTTTTTCCCAACAGCACCTTTGGCATTAATCCTCAGCTGTGCTTGTGGTTTCTTAGATTTGAAAGTACTGACTCTGTGGTACACATTGTGGTTTTGAGCAATCAGAAAGTGTTCTGGAAAACACTTTATCATCTTGATTTTTCCTTTCAGCCTCCCATATACCAATTTCCTCATTCCAAAGACATTTCCTGTTTTGAAGTAAGATGTGACTGAGGTGGGCTTCCTTGCCAATTTACCCGTTACGTACAACTGTGCCTTCTCAGCGGCAGCACCCGCCCTGTGGAACAGCATCCCCCTGGAGACTGAAGGCATTGAAGCAGGATTTCTCAATCTTAGCAAATTTAAGATACGTGGACTTCAACTCCTGTATTCTTAGCAAATTTAAGATACGTGGACTTCAACAACTGTTATTATTGGCTGCTGGAGTCTCCTCTGCCTATGATGGCTCAGAATTGGTGGGGAGCCTGAATCCATTTTGAGGGAGGAAAGTAATGGAATCTTCTGTGTAAGCCTTAATATCACAGGCTTCAAAACTCCCTCCAAACCCAGGACAAAAGAGATATGAAGGTCCATCTGTGTGCCTCATCACCATACCCATTGCTCTCCTCCCCCATCCCAAAGTTTCCACACCCTGACCCACTGCATACCCAGACCTGGTCTCTCTAATACACAGAAGGAGCATTGCTAGGCGTGGCTTGCTAATGACAAAACCTACCAGCAGATGAACCGACCCTCATGCTCTGCCTGCGACCCTCATCTGAATCTTTGAAGATCAGGTTCCCGTAAAGAGAGAAGTGAACTGCCATCTGCTCCACCACGGAGGTTTGCTTGTAGGCTCTCTCCTTCAGAAAAAGGAAGAGAGAAGAGAAGCCCTGTTCACTCCAGCTCTTGTTTAACCTTCTCACCACCTGCTGCACTGGCTAAGCAGACACAGGATGAGTTGCATTATGCCTCCCAGACAGATCTCCCCAAATAGCAGTTATAAAGTCCTGTAGCTCACTGGGTGGGAGCAATGCTTTATTACTTGGGATTTTAAGGGGCTCGAGATACCCTCATAAGGCTGGGCTAGCAAGACAGAATCCAATTCTGCTTACTTTATAATTACCTCCTCCCTGGATATCTAGGGAATGAGAGGAAAGAAAACTATTCAGATAACCTCAGGAATATCCCTCCTTATTCCGCAGGAATGGTCAGTGGCAAGAAATTGTGGTGATTTTTAAAACATGCCCTGATTCTAGCCAGAAACAAATAGCTATACGGTAGTCAGAATGGTGGCTCCTTTAAACACGACGTCTTTTTTATTAAGTTGGCCTCAGATCCCCAAAGTTCTAAAGCTGCCTTACCTAACCTGGTGCTTCTGCAGATCATTTGGGGCTGGGAATTCTGGGAGTTGCAGTCCTACGACATGTCAGAATGGGGAATGGCAAGCTGAAATCCTAAGAGCTAGAAACATTCTGGAGATGCCATGAACTGGCGATAGCTTTTGGACAATGATGAGTTAATTCGCCACTGATACCACCAGTGGAATTCTGTGGCAGCAGCTCTGCAAGGGGAACTGTGTGGTTGGGTGGACAGAATTCCCTGCTAGCGGAGTTCCTCTCCTCTGCCCAGCAGATGGATCTTGGGGGAGGAGGTACAGTGGGGCAAAAAAGTATTTAGTCAGCCACCAATTGTGCAAGTTCTCCCACTTAAAAAGATGAGAGAGGCCTGTAATTTTCATCATAGGTATACCTCAACTATGAGAGACAAAATGGGGGGGAAAAT